AATCGGAGGGGATGATGAGTCATACGTGCCACGTGTGAAAACTTTCCTCCGGGTCACCCACGTCGGACCACGCGGCCTTTGTGTCGCGGGGCCCGCCTCGAGTACCCTTCGGAAACTCTCCTAATCTATGACGGTCTCTTTGGCTATTGAGGAACTTCTCAGAAAGACTCTACTGTATAAACATCTACTGTGATATCAGGTGGTGAGCTTGTCTTCTCAAAAATAGCTTCTTCGAAGGAGAGTCATAAATTACGTTGGCCGTTTGCACGAAGACTAAAGATCTTATTGTGCGCCCGGCTGGTCGCTACACTTGAACCCACTACTTTAAGACCATGTTAGTGTTAAAAACGTCTCGCACTGTTGCTGGCGAGGGGGGGGGGGGCTGAGTTCATTTGAAGTAACTTTTTCCTTTGCAAAAATGCAAACCGCGACTTTGTTTACAAGTTATTCAAGAAAAACGGTGACTACTGAGAAACGAGCACGGCTGGTACGAGGCGGCCGAACCAATGAGCAGAACTTGACTTTGTACGCTCTTTGGATGGGCCGCCTCGCGTCAACAGAGATCGCCTCTTATTGGGCAGTGTTTTTCGTTAATAATTCGTCAACAAAGCCGCGGTTTGTATTTGCGCAAAGGAAAAAGTTACTTCCAAAGACCTCATTAATCCCCATTTCCGGATTGTGAGACATTGTTGAGATTTATGAGTAAAACAAAATCAAAGAGAAGAATATTCGAAATGGTCGAAGCACGGATTTGTTAGAGATTCTATCTTAGGAATGCTTTGACAAAACTGGAGAAGAAGTCGGACGTGCATGACGAAGAGAGGGTGCCCATTTACAACAAAGTATCGTCAACCCAGAACCGAATTGATTGGAAAATGAAGCTGTATACAACGCGTGGCGGACATAACCTGGTCCCTGTACTCGTTTGGGAACATTAGAGGCCTTCGTGTATACTTGATGAAGGATCCATTCACTGAAGAGTCCTTACGAGCGGGCCGCAGTAAATTCTTCAAGTAATACTTGTAGTTCCAGTGTCATAATGCAAATTATGTCGTAATGACGCTATACGTGCTGTTGGGACTATGGATTGTCTATTCTTTAGTTTCCTTGGTTTGGTCGTTCTGTCCGTTGTCGCATTAGCGTTTTCGCTAGTTTTGTAAGCACCAGAGAATTGAATTAAACTTGAAATAATTTTCTGTGTGAATCTATAAGAAAAGCTGTTTCATTTTGTTGAACCGAACAATGTTTATTGTGAAATCTTCGTTTTACATCTGGCACTTGATTGAACAACATAATTTTGTAAATAGTGTCCACGAAATTTTGTATGACAGTAAAGATATTTGTTGTAAAACGTGTAACGTTAAAGACACTTAACTCTCAGTCCTACTTTAGCATATAGTATTTTCGTAATTTATTAGAAATTTTAGTTATTAAATCAATTAAACTTATCTCTGCGTCTAATTAAATGAAATAGTAAACTTGACCTACGATGTGAATTTTAGAGATCTCTTGCAATTATTGGACTATGAGGTTATTGAATAATTATTAAAAAGCTTAACAGAAATGTAGTATCAGACATATTCAATTCTTACGAAGCATTTGCAAGTTTCAGGCTATGGTTATCGACAAAGTAATGGAATCTCTTCAGCGCAAACGCGGACTTAGGATCGGTATAATTATTGTATTTTATGTTCTGTTTTGTTCAGATTTGTTAGGCTGTCGGAATACTCGAATATTAGAGCGATTTAAAATCGGGGCTGAGTCTTGGGCCTTGGTTTTCGATTCGGGTCGAGTACTTGGTAACACTGAGCGGGCTTATCTTCATGTTTACATGAACAATGCATCTAAGGGTCCCAGTCCCAAAGTTGCCAATCCAAGTTATCACTGTATTGCGTTTGATCGCGATGCTTTCCTCGGACATATTTTTGCTTTCACAGCGCATATATGATGAAAAAATATTAAGTAGCAATTAGATGTCAAAATAAATAATAGATCGTGAAACTTTAATATCTAAATGTAATCAGTTTTTTTTTGAGTTAGCAACAAAATATTCCATAAAACAATTAGAAGAGTAGTCGAAATGCGACAGACACTTATTTGTGAAAACGTATTCGCATCTTCATGTGCGCGTCATTTCATACAACCATGTCTATTCTATTCGGACGTGCGTCATAATCTCATTTATTTGTACACTGCCGAATAAAATTGTAGAGTTGAAACATTTTGCATAAATATCGGTCGAACATTTACATTAACACTATATCTTGAAGTAGAGATTATTTCAATCGATACAATCTGAGCTATCTGCTACTGTCCGACAAAATCAAACTTTTTTTCTGATTTCTTGTAGCCACTATGAAATTCTTGTAGAGCTTCACTCCCCGAATAAGAATCCGAAAATCGAATTGCTCCACACCCTCAGTTTTTGAAAAAAACGAACTTTTGTAAAAACCTAAAATTTTCAAAAATGTGGTATTGCATGAGAAGTACAAACGTTAGATAGTTCTAATCGGTGTTGAAAGATAGAGAGAAGTTTTCCTAATATAGTGACATACAATTTACTTATTGATTTTGGTACTAAATAACTATAAATTAATGTCAATGTTTAAGTTCAAAGTGTCGTCGTACACAGTTTCTCCGCAATATTATTGTATTTTTACGAGAAGTTCTCTGTTCAGCACGAAAACTCTCTTCAGCACCAAGATCGGATTCTGCAGACATTTCTGAAGAAGAAACGGCCCGATAGAATCGTCGGAACGATATACATTTTGAGTAGGTCGAGAAAATGTTCGACGGCAATATGTACACGACGTTTTGCTGCCATATCCTTCGCTGCTCGCTTCTCTCTGTCCGACAAGGCCGAAGCTACGCGTAAACAACACCGATGGCTGAATCACCATAAATTCTGTAACTAATGCATGCGTAATTTTCTGCCTATTGCGTCCGATCGCTATGATTAGAAAATATAATTAAAATATATCAGTCATTCCTCGTTCAGTCCACATCAAACGAAGCACTGAGTTGCTTCAGTTCAGATACATGGTGACAAAGGTTGCCGAAATCCTTTTGTAACTTTCCGCATCGACCTGCCTTTTTTCCCTATTTCATTTGATATTGTATTTCGTTTTATTTTGAACTTTGCTTGATCTTGTACTCTGGACGATTCCATTCCTTCGCTCCATTATCTTGCTTTGCTTGATATTGTATCTTTTGCGGTGACAATTGTTTCACAAACGAAATCGTCCGCAATTTATGATACTCTGCGCCACGCGAACGTTGCGCAGTATTACGGATTATAAGCCGCCCTTCTGCATCGATCAGTATCTTAAAAGCCTACGAATCTGACATTCCTCATGCGATGAAGAAGTCGACACCAAACTGTTTAAAAACATTTGAATAAGTTGTTTAAGTTTAAATATCACGAGAAACGTCAGCGAGTCTTACGATTATTTGAATCAAAATTGATTAGTCAGTGCATTTTAAAAATGTATTCAGCGACGTCTTACGTCGTTTATTACGTTCGTTTATTAAGATGTTTTGAAATGTTGCAATGGCATAACCATTCCACGTGACCTTCTCAAGTGCAATAGTTCAAGAGGCACATCCAGCTTTAGTAATCGAAGCCATACCGAGTGACATTAGAATTAATTAATATATGATCTCGATTAAAAAGAAAGTGACAATGAATATAATTGCCGGAAGTTCTTGTGTTCCGCTCTCCTCGAAAAGAATTTATAAGTAAATTTCAACGGGAATGGATTGCCAAGAACTTTCAAGGCCATTAGTTATATAACTGCATATTTACGTGAACAGCATCTTATTGTTAGACAATGTATTCTTAATTTTTATTAATTTTCGAGCATAACGATTTTTTCGAACATGTATAAAGTTGCATGCGAATTCGGAGAAGCTCCTCTGCGAGAATATAAGCATTGTGATTCTTGGAAAATATACGCCCGAAAAAGATTATAGCGTCTTCGGGTGATGAATTTTCTTTCAATTTGAAGCTTGAAACCGCTACTTTAGGACAATGTTAATGTTAACGTTAGATAGTGTAAAGTGGGCAGATATACGTGCAAAATGTTTCAATGCTGCAATTTTGTTCAGTATTGAAAGAATAAATGAAAATAAGTCGCACATGTGAACAGACATTGTAGTTCGCAGAAAAGGCGAAATAAGATTAAATCAGCAAATTTGTATACGTAACAGGAGCATGCACACGATACGTTTGTCACAATAGTTATACGTGTAGCTGTGCATTTCAGGATCCGTATACTCGTGCGCCGTGAATTAAAAAGTAAACGGGTTAACACGGGGATATGCTAACTACGCGTGCACATGTGTATTCCGGTAGACGTAAGTAGGGACCTCTGGTAAGATGAGAAACTGTGCGAGAACAATAGAAGTGCCCTTACTTTCGTTCGTTCGATTCGCATGGAACGATTCTACTCGATCCGTAAAGTACAGCCAACAAAGACAATTTTCTCTATTTTTCCACGAGAGTATTTCGTCGATTCGTCTGAACGGAGATCAGGATTGTATCCAAAAGACTTCTCCTTACCGTCGGGAACAACGAACAAAAGAGTTGGAACGAAAAGAGCCTTGAAATGGTTGGGAAAAGAAACGAGCGCCCGCGTAGCTTACAGTTCATGGATAGATACAAATTATTCTATCTTGCAAAATAAATCCCCGATCTAATCCTTACCTAAATAAGAACAGATCGATCCATAACTTTCGACCAATTCGCGCGATCGGTCTGCAGACAGTGCAATTTACGATCACATCTTATATTTTGTTTTTTTTCTTGGTATATAGTATATGCCACTCCGATGATGTATTGAATATACCGTAGTAGTCTTCTTGTATATGAATTAGTACAAATAAATTGGTAGAAGCAATCTAAACGTGACGGTGCACCATTCATTGACTTGTCACAGAGGGTAGGTACCGTTCGAAAACACAAACTGTGAAGAAAGAGGATACCTGCGACCAGCACCCAGGCTCGCTTATTAATTACGTATACTCCGCTCTAAATAGATATAGTTTTACTAGATCGATCTCGATGCATAACACGTAAAAACAAAGTCATTGTTTGTTAATGTGTCGGATAATCAGACACGAGCGACTTTGTTGATGAAATGAAAGGAAGTGTGCAATACACATTTCATTGTCAACGAAGCGTAAATAATGCAATTGAATCTAGCATTTCCGATTCCCAGCAGTTTAGAATATCGATTGCGGAAAAAATAACTGAATCGTTTTGTGGAGAAGCATATATCATAAATTGGGTAATAAGTGCATACGTAGGTGCACGCTTAGACGTAGTATATCATCGGCTATTTAGTCCACACAGAACATAGTACTGAGTTGTTTCAGCCCAGTGACAAAGCGGCCCGTCTGTATACGAAAGCCTTTTGTATAACTTTTTACATCGACCTGATCTCTTTCTATTTGGTTCGATTTTCAACCTTGTTCGATTTTGTATTTGGCTTAATTTATTACGTGAATTTATATTGAATTTATACTGAACTTATACTCCAGTTGTTTCACGAATGAAATGGTAGGCAACTTGTGATACTCTGCGTCAAGCGAGGGTTGCATTGTGCTAAGGATTAAAGGCCACCCTCTTGCATCATTTAGCATTCTGAAAGCCCGAGGATCCGACGTGCTATAATAGTTTAAGGGGAATCATAAGATTCCAAAGTGTTCTAAAGAGTGGCAAAGAGTGGCAGCGAGCCCCATTAAACTACGAATTTTGTGACAGTTAAACAGGTACGCAAACGAGATGTCGTCGGGAAGGTGCGAAGAACTTATTTCGCAAGTTCCGGGGAACAATGGGAGTGAAATCGTCGAGTTTTACAAAGGAGCGAAAGTTCTGGTAACAGGTGGAACGGGTTTCCTCGGCCTATTAATCATCGAGAAATTACTAAGGTGATTCTTCTTTATTAATAACCGAAATTGTGTCGATTCGAATAAAATTGTGAACCGCTCCAGCGAAACGTGTCGCGTATAACGAGTCTAACGAGACTTGTTAATGTATGCTCTGAATGGGACCGTAATATGGCAGTAATTACCATTTTACAGATGACTAAATACTAAAAAATTTTAGGCTTACATTCATTTTTTTAAATGGCATGCTATACTTTTCCATTCCTAATACAGAAGTGGATATTTTAACGAGTCCAGTGTATCCGGCCTGCTAGCAATCACAATCATTACGCATACAATCAGATTTAATTAATATATATTATGTCGATTAAAANAATCACAATCATTACGCATACAATCAGATTTAATTAATATATATTATGTCGATTAAAAAAGATGTAGATAGTGACTATGATTTCCGGAAGTTCCTGCGATCTCTTGTCTTCAAAAACAATTTGTAGAATTCGTTATGTATACATTTGGATATTAACGTGAATAGTATCTTAGACAATTCTTTCCTATTTTTTACTCATTTTCGTGCATAACAATTCTTGCAAAAATGTTGACAGTTGCATATAAAATCGTAGGAGATTCAATACGAGAACAAATTCGTTCTGGATCTTGGAAAATATGCTGCTGAAAAAATTATAGCGTAAAAACGTTTCGGATAAAAAGTGGCCAAATTGAATTGACAATAACTCCGCGGAAGACATCGTAAGATGATGATCTTTTCTCAAATTAAAGTCCAAAATGTCTACTTTAAGATACTCTCCGGATTTTAACCCTAGAAAGATAACCATATGACAACGTACGTAAAATATAACCATACGCTTCAGAGGCGCATGCTTTTCTAAGGCGCGTCAATTTTATACTAACAATGGATATTTATTTAAGTTAATCTAGTCATTTTAAAGGTTTGGCATTATTGTAAAAATAAAATGCATTTATATTATATTTTTTTATATTTTAAGTAATTTTAAACTTAAATCACTAGACCTCTATGAAAAATTTACAAAAATCAACAGTCTTCGCAGGCGCCTCTGCGACGTAGGTTATCTTTCTCGGGTTAAGTTCGATGCATCGTCGCCACTCTAATGCTCTGAATATAACCTCGAAAACACAACTCCTTTCAAAGTGACCGACATGTATGTGATTAGCGAGGGTTACTTCAAAGTGTTGTCAGTTCGCGAAAAAAAAATCGACGTCGAGTTTCTCTACTTTTTAAAGATAGTAGAAAGATCGAACTTCATACCGCAGTGAACAGCATCTTCGAGTCAAATTTTACGAAGTCTATGCATTTCGCTGAACTTGGCAAATTTTCGATGTGACAAATACGGCCTCGCGTTTAAAGAGTTATGGTGATCACGGTACAACAAAGTTAAGATCCAGAAATACTATCTTAAAGTAGAGGTTTCAAGCTACAATCTAAGAAAGAAGTCATCATCCCATAATGATTTGTCGAGAAATTATCATCAGTCAAATTTGACCGATTTTCTTCGAAAATGTTTCTAGACCACAATTTTGTTCAGCAATGTAAAAATAACTAGGTATAAGTCGCACACGGAAATAAAATAGATATGGTTGTTCGCGGGAGACGAAATAAGATGAGAGCTACTGATTCGAATAAGTTTTCACGAACATGTGCCTGTCATGTGTTCACAGGTCCTGCCCGGATATCGTAACGATTTACATGTTGATAAGACAGAAAAAGGGGAAGTCCGTGGAGGAACGATTCAAAGAATGCTTCAACGATACTGTATGTGAAATTCTGAAGCAACTACGAATACTTGTTGAACGCCAATCATTGTTTTCGATATCGTGTCTAGGTATTTAGCAGACTGAAGCGGGAGCAGCCAGACTTTTTAAATAAGATAGCGATGATAGAGGGCGATGCCACCGAAGAAAATTTCGGTTTGTCTGCAGAATCTATACTGACACTGAACGACACAAATATCGTAATCCATGCTGCAGCAATAGTCAAGTTCAACGAGAAGCTACGTACGATGGTGCACACCAACGTGAGAACTACAAAGCAGTTGTTGCTGTGGGCGAAAACGCTGCCGAACTTGAAGGTACGTCACATATTTCGTAAAACTGTCATCGCGTAACCTGTATCAGTTAACAATCAACCACGTGCAGAAATACTTTTTATATTTCGTTCTCGTCAGGAAATGTATTACTATTATGATTGTAATGATCGTGCGAAATATGTGCGAGCACAGGAGATCGATAGACGTACTGCAAGACGACGTCAAGCTCGGAAAATACAATCACATATAGTCGGTAAATTAGAATGCCGTAATCGTAGGTTCGCTAATCGATACTATCTCTATCCAACTGTCCTGGAAGACTAATTCATCGAACGATAGAATTCGAACAGAGTCGAAGAGATTATTCTCACTATTGTCAATTGAAAGCAGCTCAGAATTATTTGAATTGCGGAACGGTTCTTCCTATTTTGTAAATCAAATGTCTCTCTCGGTTCAGGTTTTCGTGAAATAATCGATGTAAATTGGGATTAGCATAAATATGATCAGTGAAATCGGTATGGAGAATAGATCTGACTTGTACAGTCGGTTACACCAATGTTCAATGTACTAGCAGAAAATTCGTTTCATGCTGTAATAAATCTAACGTGATCTTGATAAATCGATGCCCTGAAACTGCTTCCATCGCGACTTCCATAAAATCTGCAGTCTAACGTTCATCGGCGGTTCAGATGGGGAATCCACGAAATGAACGCTAATTATCCTGTTCGCAGTCATTCGTGTACGTATCGACAGCATTCTCGAATTGCGTACATGAGACCATCGACGAAATCCATTACGATCCTCCCATGGACTGTGACAAACTAATGACATTGGTGGATTGTTTGGACGACGATAAACTGCTGGCGATAGAGGCTACGTAAGTATCCGTCCGAAAACAACAGTGACTATTACAATTGTTGTTGTTACAATAGCAAGTATTATTAAAGTTGTTCCATATTGTAGATTGCGCGGAAAGTGGCCGAACAACTACGCCTTCTCTAAATCAACTGCAGAAAGTGTTGTTCTAAAGTATGCGGGTGATTTTCCAGTAGGGATTGTTCGACCTTCGATTGTGACGACAACGTTCCACGAACCTATCGCAGGATGGATTAACAATATTAACGGTGCCGTTGGCATAGCTTTTGCTAGCACTTTGGGGCTGATGCATACAATGCACTGCGTATCAGAGTGCGCAGCAGAAGTTATACCTGCGGATTATGTCGTGTCCAATATTATCGCTGCTATTTGGGACATTAGTAAAAGGTGAGCGTTGTGTTTAAACGAAAATCAAGATATTCTTTACAGGTGTTTGACACATGAGGTTGG